TCTGCACTCTGTGCCGAACCGTAATCTTCAATGGTATTTCCACCTGTTGAATTTATTTTGACCTCTCGACAAGGTAATCGATAAGTGAGAGATATTCTTTTTGTGTCATTTGTGGCTATATGTGTTTAATAAAAATAAATTAGAATTATTATAATATATATATATATATAACAATGAGCTGAAAACAATAAATAACCTAAAAGATATAAACTTAAAATACGGCTACTGCTAGGAATCTTAACAAGTTAATCAGTTAGACTCACAAAATTTGAATTATATTTTTTGACCAGCCAATCTCTCTGATTAATATTGACTGTATAATTTAAAACAATGGGTCGTTTATTCCTTTTTGCTCACTAATTTTTATCAACGCGATTTAACCTGTTTGTTAACATATTCAAAAGCCCCACGATCAGAGTTACAAATGTCATTAGTCAAGTCAAAAATAATAGTGGAACTCGCATATTTATTAAAACCTTACTGAAGGGCTTTTAATATCTATATTTTAAAGTGAATGTACGAGATTGATAATTTATATCTATAATATTCTCTCTAGGCAATTTGTCTTCATCCACACAAAAACCAACGTTATAGCACAGTTTCACTTCTTTAAATTTTCTACAAATTATTCTCGAAATGTAAAAATATCAATGGTAAATGTATAATGCTCGAATGCAATTTTCATCCATTCAGAAAGTATTTAAAAAATTCCTGAAATATTAATAATAATTAATTCCTGAATAGCCTTATACAAATATGTATTACTGTTCTTCAAATAAAACTGTTTGAACGTCTGCGTTTAAAAATTACCATGCAATACAAATGTAACTTTCTTATTAAATGCAAAATGTTTGTTACAAACAAAACTTAATAAAATTATATATTTTCATTGTCTAGAAAGTGTTTAGGCCTTCGTTGTTAGCAAGGGGAGAAAAACAAGGAAAAATAATGCATGAACGTACTGATAAGTAAGTGTTTTTTTAAGTAGTCGGCAGCGCGACAAAAAAATCAGGGTTGACAGAATGAAACTTAAGCTCAAACCAATATATATATATTTATATATATACGTATCAGAGACATAAACACCATCGATCAGAGACATGGACTCTAAGAAAGGCCGACAAAAGCTATCTGGAGATTTTCGACACGAATGGAGAAGATAAAGTGGACAGATGAGGTAATAAATAAAGAAGTCCTGAAAAAAGTGGCCAAAGAAAGAACTCAACTGAGCACGACCATTAAGAAAAGAAAACTGGATTAGATCCATTCTGCAAAATGAGTGCCTCCTAAATGATGTAGTCAAAGTTAAAATAGTAGTCCAATCATTTAAGCTTAAATTAGATAAGAATCTCGGAATTCGAGATACCCAGCTGTAAGTCTGTAAATACTTGACACCTAAAAGTTGTCTCAAAACCTACACATGGTAGGGTGTACGCAACATAGGTAAGTTTTGAGACAACTTTTAGGTGTCAATATACAAGTATTTACAGACTTACAACTGAGTATCTCGAATTCCGAGGTGAACTTACTATAATGACTGGTCTATAGAAGGACTACAAAGATTGGGAAGCAGAAGAATGCAGATGATTGATGTTTTATGCGAGAAGGAAAATACAGGAAACTGAAAGTAGAAGCACAGAACCAGGAAGCATGGAAGCAAAAGTTTGAAGAGGAAAATGCATAAAATTGTAGACAAAGTGAAGAATAGTAATAAATGACAATGGGAATAATGAACAAGGAATACTTATGCTTATACATTTATAACAACTAGAAAAAAATCTGAATATTCCAATCCACAAAGATTGGGAAAATCAAAATATACCATCAAATTATTTTATGAGAAACTTTTTCAGAAAAGACAGAGAATATAATTCCGCTTTTGTATTATAATTGAGACGATATATTCTAGAGCATATGAATTACAATATGTATTTTGGCATTATTCCAAGTTAAATATTATAAGTGAAAATTTCTAATGTCGAGACTGAATCATGAATGGATTATGCATCAATAAAAAATTGTTGGGATGTTTTGTTGTAGGCTATTATTATAAAGACTGGCACAAAGTTTAACCAAGGCGCCAGAGAAATATATTTTATAAATAAAACTACCCAATTTTACAAAAATATATATAAAAATTGATAACTTTTATGAGAACATAAAGAGGAAACAAACACCTCTTTATAACAGTATCCACCTATAATAATGAGCCGACTTTTTAACAACCAATATTTTACGATCATCATCGATAAAAAAGAGAAGGGTCGTGAAACATATTTACTCAAAGAAAATTTCTTAAATAAAAATTTAAGACAAATATTCTCAAGAATATTTGTTTTGAAAAAATAATGGAATAGATATTATATTGAATGAAAATATGTCTACGTTAATTAATTGATAATATTAGACTGAATATCAATTGATTCATAATAAAACTGTATGCACTTTATATATTTCAAAACCTACTATTTAATACAACCTACAATGCTGAAGAAACGAAGATTAATGCCGTTCCTGCACTTTAACTGGTGATTAAATCTATAGATAACTACGGATATTCAGTAATGATGCTGTATGAAAGTATAAATCATTTAGTCTTAAGGAAAAAATGGAAAACAAAAATTAAAACTGACGTTCCTGCAAATTACTGTAAAATTCTATATTAACTTCTCGTAGGATAAAATACAGTAATGGCAAAAAATCAAAAATGAAAATTTTTATATACCCTTTTATTTCAAAGACTTCGGAACATTTTGGTATACCTTGGAAAAAATTGATGTATGTGTGTGTAGGTGCTTATACGTATGTATGTGCGGATACAATTTTTTGTCGATTTCGAGAGCACGGAATGACCGATTTGAATGATTCGAAAAAGTATTTGATTTGTAATGATAGGGAGACGTGCTGATTAATTTTTGACAAAGCCAAGTACTGCCCTTTGAAGATACGGGATAAAAGTAGCAAAACAAATGTAATTCATTTTTTGAGAGAACGGAACGTCCGATTTGAATCATTCAAAAAAACATTTCAGTTGTATTGTATAAATGAAGAATTAATTATTTTTCAAAAAGCTGGTCTAGGATTTTCTAAAAAATTAAAAGTGAAGGTAAAAAACGGTCATTTAGTGGTCAAAAATTATCATTAGACATGTGCACGAATTGTATTGTTGAATTTTCAAATATTGTATAGAGATTTTAATAGTAAATATAATATTTGTTACCATTTCTATGGATTCCGTGTCAAGATTCATATGTTTGAAGTTTAAAGTTCACTTACATAGTTTAAACAAATGCCCTCAACAATTTCTACAGTATGGATTAACAGACTTGAATGGGTTTCAAAATTTTCAAAAGACTTCAAACATTTCAAAAAAATTCAGAAATTTCATAAAAATCGATTTTACCCAACAAATTCAGAAAGAAATCAAAATACCCCAAAAATATAGTTTTTTTTTAATTTTATAGCCCTTGCAAATTACAGTACGGGAAGTTCCAGAAAATGGCCTTAAGGCACGTTGCTATGCATATAAATTTAAATTGTATAAAAAAGTAGCTAGCATCTTCGTAAGCAAAATAAAAAAAATCAAACAATTAAGAAAAATACTTTCTATCTGAATTGATACAAAAGAGCTAAAAAAATAATGAAGCTATATCATTAAATAAACTGAGCTCATACTGTTATACAATGATTTAATATTCTAATTATTGACATCTCTTGGGATAAGTTATAGTAATCACAAAAAAAAAACGAAAATGAAACCTCCTGAAAATCTTGGCATATCTTAGAGAGAATGGATGTTTGTGTGTGTATGTATGTGCGGATACAATTGTTCGATAGTATGAATCAATCAACTTGAATGGATTTCAAATTTGTTAAAACAATCCGTAGTTATTCAAAAATTCAAAAATTTCGAAATTATCAAAAATAGTTTTTTTCCAGATTTTCAAAAAATTTTAATTCTTTTAAAAAACTGAAATTACGGCACAGAAAATTTTAGCAATTTGCTTTATAGCACAATGCCATGCACCACAAGTTATTAAATTATAATGAACAACTTTTTTTAAGTTATTGTAATGGGCCGAAAATCGAAATGAAATTTTTTTACATTTCTCGACGTTTTGAAGGTTTCTGAACATTTTGGCATACTTCAGAAAAAATGGATGTGTGTGTGTGTATGTATGTATGGATACAAATTTCCAGTCACGTTTTCGGGCGCACGGATCAACCGATTTGAGTGGTTCAAAAAACATCCGATTCCTATTGATAGGGAAATGAGCTGATTAGCTTCTGACAAAGGCAGGTCCAGCAGTTACGGAGATAAAGAGCAAAGAGTGCAGAAAATAGAAATCGAGTTTTTGAGAGAACGGAGCATCCTATCTGAATGATCTAAAAAACATTCGATTAGTAATGATTGGGAGAAGTGTTTATTAGTTTTTGGCAAAGGCAGGCCCAGCCATTTCGAAGATACGGAGCTAAATGTGTTCCAGCAATTTGGCTTAAGGCACGATGCCATACACCCCACTAGTTTCACTTTATTTTACCAATCAGAAATACAAAAATAATTTCTATGAGCTAAACTAATAATGAACAAATAAATATGATAAATATTTTACAATAAATAGATATAGAATCAAGAAGGTTGACATCCCCTGTTGTCTCTATTATGATTTATCATCATCTTCGCTAAAACTTCCAAGTATTTTCTCGAGCAAAGTACCGACCAGCTGTTTTATTAAAAGGTCACAAGGGTTTGTTGCGGTACCTGAGCATGAATCGTACAGGTTGTTATATCGTCTCTCAGTTTTACCATGAATTTTAGGCTTCTTAACTTTTTTTTCATAAAAAACTAACAAATAAAATTCCTACTTTGTATGCTCGTTCGGCGCAATCTTTGTTATTCCCCTCCATTCAACAGGACGAACACTTCCGAAGGCGAGCGGAGACTGTCGAGCGCGTACTACGGGCGTCGTGCGTCGGATATCGTCATCAAACGATTGCTTGCTAGCCGGCGAGAAGGGCACTCAAAAGCCGGTAGTAAAAGAAATAATAGAAAGATTTCTTATTTTCGCACAAGATAATTGTAATAAAATTATTTCTGCCAATTATTTAATTCAACATATAATGAACATGAAACTGATTTCAAACTCGCGTGTGAAAATCCGTTAATTATCAACTAGAATAAAGTGTCATTCACCGTCTGAGTGGGCGTCGCTAGATCAAATTTTTTTTACTATTTGAAACTTTTTTGTTATTGTGTGATGAACAGATTGTTGTACAAGTTTTAAGTGGTGATTTGAATATATTATTTTGAACATTGGTGATTTACGTTGAAGTGAAACTTTTTGTGAATGTGAGGATTTTAATTCAAATTCTGGACTGGAAGTTTTAGATACAACAGGCGCTGATCGGACTTACCAATGATGATGGAGTTTTATGGGATGGATACCGGCATGGACCTGAAAGAATTCTGGGATTCGGAACTTGACTCGGTAAGTAATTAGTAAATATTTATAGTATTTTTATTTAATTGTATCCGACACAGTTTATTTATTTAAAACATGTCTCAAAGTCTAGCCTTTTGCCGCTCGTTTGAATATCCACCTTGTTAAATGTCGTCAATGAATGATTATAAATGACAGACGTACAGCACGTGTGTTTTACGAATGCATATCATAATATTATATAAAAATATACGAGAATGCATACATATACATTCATATACATTTTGATTTTGATCTTGATTCATATACATTTTTATATGTATTTAAATACATGTACACATTTTGGTTTCAAAGTTTCCAAAAAAGTTTTTTTCATATACTTTCATATATTTTGGTTTAAAAGTTTCCGAAGAAGGATACTCCATGTCACCGAAACTTGGAAATTATTTATAAATAAAAAATTAAACTAGTGGGGCGCATGGCATCGCGCCTTAAGGCAAATTGCTGGAACTTTCCGTACCAAAAATTATTATTTTTTTAAAAACGATCAACATATTTGAAAATAATTTACTTCCAAAAAATTAGATTTTTGAGAAACTATAAATTTGACAAAAAAATACTTTTTTTTTGAACGTTTTCTTTATTTTGACATATTTTAGAAATTCTTAACTTTTTTTCAAAGCAATCGTACTGCTTTAACTACATAGAGACGAAATATCGAAGCGCGTAAGCGCCGCGTCGCTGTCTAACGGATAAGCATTGGTACGGAACCCATAGGAATGTAAACAAAATTCATACTTATTGTTAAAATCTCTATAAAATATCTGATAATATGATGTGCATATGTTTAATGATAACCATTAACCAATAACATTTTTTTAACTTACTTTTACTAAGGGTCCATAACCGCTGGACCTGCCTTTCCAAAAATTTAATCAGTTCTTCATCATGTCAATACAAGTAAAATGTTTTTTGAATTATTAAAATCGGACGCCTCGTTCTCTTAAAAACTGAGTTACCGTTTTTGGCACTTTTTCCCCCTATCTTCGGAACGGCTAGACCTGCCTTTGTCAAAAACTAATCAGCACGTCTTCTTATCAATACGAATCGAATGTTTTTTGAATTATTCAAATCGGTCGATCCGTGTTCCCGAAATCGTCGATGAAAATTTGTATCCGCACACACACACATACATACATTTTTTTTAAGGTATGCCAAAATGTTCAGAAACCTTTGAAACGTAAAGATATATTAAAATTTTCATTTTCGATTTTTTTGCTATTACTATATTTTACCCTACGGGAAGTTAACTAAATTTTTTTTCGAAAAAAATTTAGTTCAACATATTTTCGTATATACATAATTTCAGAATATTTAAATTTTGTTAAAATTAAAATTTGTTTTTTTGACCTAGAATATGGTTATGTATATATAAATAAATTGATGGATATTTCTTTTCTGAAAAATTAATCTAATAAATAAAATGCAATTATTTTTTTTTGTAGATGTTTAATTACGACGTTTTGCAATTAGATATTAGAACTAGATCAGGTTTTTTTGTCAAATATTTTTTTTAATTAAATAACAATATCAATGATGATGTTTATAGAATATTGAAAAAACCTTTAAGGAATGGATTATGAAAATTTTCTACTAAAATAAAAGAAATACGCAGAAAATTATTAGGAGTTGAGAAGCAAAGATGATTTACCTGCAATATTTATATTCATCTATAAATCCATGTCACACATTTTTTTTGTCAAAAGCACTTGTAGAAAAATTATTTAATTTTCAAATGTTCTTAATATTTTTTAAGTACAAGTACAAGTGCATTTGTACAAAAAATGAGTGATATGTATTTATAGTTTAATATTGCAGCTAAATAATTTTTGTTTCTCCATTTCTTATATTTTTCTACATATTTTTTTAAAAAAAACTTTTTCTTTTATAAGTTCCTTTATGTGTTCTTCAATATTCTATAATCATCATTAATTACATCATACATACATCATTAATTTTATTTAAGAAAAATGTTCAAAAAAAAACCTGATGATGGAACGTATCTATTTCCGAAACGTCGTAATTAAACACATTCAAACAAACTAATAGTTTCTTATCTATTGGATTAACTGTTCTAGAATCTGTTGAATATTCTTAAGAATAATTTGAAAAAATCACTTTAATATATAATTAAATCATAAATCCATATGCATTATTCAAAAAGAGTGTGAACTAAATAAATATGTTTATTCAAACTAGAATATGATTCCCTATATATATATACACATTTTTCATATTTTTTGGATAACTTTTATTAAATTGATTACAAAATCAATTTTAACACACAGCGTCAGAACTATTGAATTTTGTTAAAATTAATTTGAAAAAGTCACCTTTAATGATGCACTATATTATATTTACTATACTTACATGATAAATAAATACAAACATTTTAACAATAAATACAATAGTAGGTTAATTTAAAATCCGATGCGATTTTAAATTACAATATTCTAATTTTGTTATCAGAATTGATAATGTTATCTATTTGTATGTATTTCCCAGTTTATCGTATAAGAGCTTGTCACATGGGACAATTTAATTGTGTGACATATATACATATATTGGAACAGAAATAGGCCTGTATAAAATATATAAAAAATATATATAACAGAAATAGGCCTGTTATAAAAATATATATATATATTATATATATATATATATATATATATAACCGGAGAATAGCCTCTGGCAATCCTTCACCATGTTAAAAATTACGAAGTTTGAATTTAGAATTGTTAGTTGATCGTGAACTTGTTGCAGTATCACTATATATTTTTTAATTAATTTGTTTATAATAATAATTTTTGTAATTAACTTTATTACCTATACCAATGATATAATGCAAATAAATAATAAAAAAATCTGTTCACATACACACACACATACTTCTTTCAAATTTGGTTTCATTCCATTCTGAATGGCTTGAAATGTCGAGAAAACATACATGTAAAATTAGCGAATCGGATTTTTTGATGAATACATAAACTTCTCCTTCGGGAAGTTAATAATGAATATTTTATACAACATAATTGTAATTCAAACTGAAAAACTAATGCAAATCAATTTTTTCACCTAATTTTACTTATAATTAGAATACAACAACAATATTAGGCTGTCTAAATTTATATATCAATAACAAAATCTTAGTATCATAAAAAGTGAAATGTAGTTTGGAGTCTTAGAAATCGATGCTATTGGTATATTGCACTCGTTGATACATGTAACCAAATTGCATTTTTGTTCTGATTATAAACTTTTCTACTCGCGAATTGCAAGATCTATATGTATTTTGCATCCGAGTGGGAAGGGTTAAATTATATGCATAACAGAGCAACTTGTATATAGCAAGTCGGATATAGCAAGTATACAATAAAATATAAATTTAAAATTTATAAATATAGAATATAAAAATGAAATGTTGTGGCTAAATGCCCCATGTAATAAGCGAGGCCAAAAAATAAAAAAAAATTACAAAAAAATTATAAAATAGTTAACAGTAATATAAAATAGTATGGAAAAAGTAATGTTGCAAAAATAGACATGTACAATTAAAAAGAGATGTACAAAACTTGGTGAGGATTTGGTAATAATGAATAATGTACAATAATATATTTTCATTTATATATATATATATATATATATATATATATATATATATATGCATATATGTGCATATATGTATGTATGTATGTATAATTTTCACTAATGTATGTCAAGTTTTAGCTATCTATGCAATGAGGAGCTACTGCACAATATGTTTTCCACAACGTTAGTAAATATTTTGATAAGAAATATTGCACAATCATCTAATAATTTCTTAATAGAATACAGTAACAATTATTTTTACCATATTCATTGCGCATTGGCATAAATATTGCATTTTCCTAATTACGTATTCGATATTATCGCAATAAAACGGATGCCAATTTAATGGTTAATTATAAATTAATTTTTCTTTCCACACTGTATTAAACTGTGGCTTCTTTGCAATCTTCGTCTCGATCATAGAACTTTTAAAGGCAATTCATTCGCTAAATACTTAATATACATGTCGTCGTAGTGCTTTGCGTTATGCATAGGAAAAGAGGTATTATCTGCTTCCGGCATATTATATGAATACAATGTATATTTAGATCATATTAGAAATTGAAAGTAGAGAAATATATATATATATATATATATATATATATATATATATATATAATACAACAAATAAAACATTACATATATTATTTTGTGTATAAATTAATATTCTCATTTAACCCTTTCCCTCGACTGCATCTTTGAGGGGACAACGTAAATCTCTGTGCACTCTTCTGACTCCTCGAGGCACTCGATAGCATACACAATGACTCAGTTCGGATTGAAGCGTCGAATAGAACAAATCATGGATGAGCAACCAGCGTCCTGCGGGCCCTACCCGCTTTTTTCAACATTTTTCTCTCGCCAAGCGTTTCTAAAGTAGAATTTTATTTATTTCGTCGACTTTCTCCCATCAATAAATTAATTACTATGTATTCTCTGCTTGTTGCATTCATTTTTGATATATTTTATTTTCATTAATTTTGTATTTTTATATTATAATGTTTACTGGTATATATCAAACTTTGTTAGGTATTATGAAGTGCGTCCCGGCATGAAATTTTAAAAATTAAATGCTGCCCGTGAGTTAAAAAGGTTGCTCCTTAGAATAAATCTGTGCAGTAGGTATAGGAAAATATCACGTGTATTTATTTTTAACCTGAATTCATTTTTAAAAAAAAAAAAAAAAAATACAATTTTTGGAATATCACCACGTATCACAAAAGGGGAAGGGGCTCCAAAATTTTTTAAAAAGTCGATCACGTGATTAATGGATGCCCTCTTAATTGTTTTTAAACCCATTTTTTT